TATTTTATACATTTTTTACGAATATTAAAACGTATTATTACCGTATACAATTCCGTATATAAATTTCTTATAGGGATTATTATTATGTGATGATCGTAATTTAAATAATCCTTTTATTTCATCTTTTTTATCTTTCACTTTAAAAACTACAAATTTTGCTGCTTTGATTAATCAAATAAATAATAAGAAAGATAAAAAATATGTTAAAAAATATGATCAAATAATTAAAACATTAGATTCTAGTTATATAATTCCTTTAAATGTTGATAAGAAAATAAGTAAATTATATAACAAAATTAAAGATTATAAGAAAAAATAAGTAAATATCCTATACAAAATTATTATAAGATCAATGATATCAAACACAATTTTATTTATCAATTAATTGATAATAAGTTGTTTGTGTTATGTATAGTTATAAAAAATTTTTTTAATAATAATGCATTTCATATGAATCAAAATTAGAATTATTTCATAAAATTACTTATGATTTAACTTATATAATTAATAATAATAATTTTGAAAAATAATATTAGATTTAAAAACAAATTCCCAAAATTCACAAACTATTTATGATGGTTGTATAATAATGTAAGCTCATTTTAATTATTCATTCCTATCACAAGATGAAAAATATTGTCGTGTTACTAAAGTTATAGAAAAATATATACAAGTATATTCTATTAATTTTCAGATATTAAGATAGATGATATATTTATTATTTTAAGACAAATAAGGAATTTTTTATAGATGTATATCTTGGAAAAACACATTTTTCGAAAGTATTAGGATCAAAAAATTTATATGATTTTTATCTTTATTTAGAAAATTGTCTATTTCCATTAATTATAAGCTTAGAATCTTTAATTGCAAATCTAATTAAGATTAACTTTCCTAAATTATATGATAATTTCAATATTAATTTACCAGGTATTGAAATAAAGCTTCAATTTTTTAAAAGTTTTGTAATAAATTTTAGTATACCAGGTAAAGCTGATCATTTAAATATATTAACATTAAGACAAGGTGGTACTAATCCACATAAAGATAATGTAGATTGTATGTATGCATTTTGTGTTGTAGTAGTTTTTTGGAGATTTTAAAGAGGGAGATTTGATATTAAGTGAAATAGGAATTACAATCGAAATTAAAGGTGGATATATATTTTTATTAAGGTCAGCTTAACTAGAATATTTTAATTTATTAATTATTAAAAATAGATTTGCTATAATATATTATTTAAGAAAATATTTTTATAATGAAGTTTAATAATTATTTAATAAATACTGTAGAATACTATACAAAATACCTTGGATATAAATCGATTTTTTCAATTTAAAAATTGATTCGTACCTGTGGGTATCTTATGAAGAGCAGGGTATAATAAATAGTAAGGTATTTTAATAGGAGTATTATATCAGTGATATATATTGTAAAGGAGTTACAAAGTACAAATTAACCTTATATGAGGTATGTTGCAACAAAACCAGACAAAGTAAACATTGGTATTACCAAGAATTTCAGAGATCGATATTGTTTGTTTAACATCACAATTGTATTACTAATGTAATGTGATTATGATATTCATTAAGACAAAAATAATTAATATAAAGTTAATAGGTCTACCATGGAGTCTAAGAATTATAACACCATTAGAAGTATTTTGAAGAAAGAATAAGGTGAAAAAATTGCTCCTTATATTTTCAAATTAAGTGATACTCAAACACTTGAAGCTTATTTAAGAAAAGAAAAGATTACCTATGAAATTTACCAAGAAAAAAGAAAAATAATAAACATTAAGAAAAGAAAGCAGAGTGAAGGTATCTTATTACCTAACAAAAAGCAAAAATCTTTAGAGGGAAAATAATTTTATTATTACAATATTTTTTTACCAACTACTACTACAAAGAAAATTCCCCTTTATGCAAATATAATTAATTATCATCATGTTGCATTGCTTATAATTAAAAAAAATGTGTTAGTCATTTAAACAAATTCTACATTCAAGGATATGTTTTACAAGTCTTTGTTTTTCTTTCACTAACATTGGAACAAAGTAAATAAATAATCTTGCCTTGTATTGAAACATTATAAAAATATTACCAATTCACTTAATTTTCAGGTAAAAAAATTCAAATAACAAATCCTTCTAATAATCATCATTAAACAATTTTATTTTGATTTAAAAACCAGACAAATAATAAATAAATATTTTAACGTTTTTAAAAAAAATGCTTACATTCAATGGTGAATTTTTTTGCAGGTTGTTAATTGGAGTTTTCCTTGGTTTTTTATTTCATTATAAAACTTATAAAAATCAATTCTATATTATAAATCAAAAAATTTATCAAATAATCAATAAAATAGAACCAAGAAAAAGCCAACTCAAAAATAAAGTAAACAAACTTACTGATGATAAACAATATTCACAAGAAATAGAAAATCTATAGAAGGATTTCAAACAATTATTTGACAAAAAGACTGAACTGAATCCTGATTTTTCATTTAATGAAATAGTCATGGAAATTCGCTTGTTACTTGGAGAGGAAAAAGGAATTTTTGCTTCTACTATTAAAAACTTTTATCAACAAAAAACAAATCCTAGAAGTAAAAACGATAGAAGCAATTCAACAGTGAGTTGAAAGAAAAGAAGAAAGAAGTGGAGAGTGAAGTTGATGAAAATAATGAAAATGAAGAAAATACAAATATTAATAATAACATTATTGATAATAATGTAATAGTAAAAGTTGAATTTTTGTCAGAGTACTCAAAGAATAGATAATACTCACAAATGGCTTTGGGTCTGAATATTTTCCTCCCATGCAAGTACTTTGATGATTTTTAACTTATATTTTTATGTATTTTTCTATTATTAATTGAATTAAAATAAATTAAAATAAAATAATTTTTTTTTGTTGTCTGTAAAAAATAAATTCCAAGTCATGTGTCCACTAATTTATTATTGGTCCAAATTATTTATAGAAATAATTAATTGTAATAATTACGATCTAAATCAATAAAAAAAAAATTTTTTAAAAAAATTAATTTTAAATTTAATTTCAAAAATGTTGACCATTGAAGAAGTTAGACAAGAATTAAACGATGCTAAGGAGATGTGGAGAAAAGCGGAAGCAGAATTAAAGCAGAAACAGAAGCAGTTAAGTGATTTAGAAGATAAGTTAGAGAGAAAAGAATAGGGGTTGATGTAAAACTGAAGGAGTTGTGGAAAGAATGAAGAGTTAACTTGAAGAAGGAAAAGGAGAGGTTAGAGAAGAATGTAGACGATTGGGGAGAACAAGAGCAATACATGCAAAAAGAATTAACAAAATTTAAAGAAGAAAAAGGTAATGAATAAATTGCGTGAAAAAAAATTTAAATTTTCATTTATTCCATTTTATTTATTTATTTATTTGTATAAGAGAACATTTTATTTGGTATACTGTTTACAATTTTAATTAACACCTATTCATTTTATTTATACATTTATCTATACATTCCTAATATTGTTGCAGATGCAGAGGAAGGAATATTGCAAGGAAAGAGATCACTAGATGAATATGAAGAAGGTAGGTTCTTGTAAATACAGCATTTAGAGCAAAACTGTTACTAAGTTATGAATTAAATTTCTTGTGCAGAACAAAGAAAGAGAATAAAAGATCATAGATAAGATCAGGCATTTAGAATGGATTTCAAAGATCCAGTTGATTTTATGCAGTATCTAGAGGAACATATTCAGGATAGTTTTAAAAAGTATAAAACTCATTATAATTACATTGCCTTGGTTCAAAGTTCTGAATACGGAAAGACTCGAGCTGTTGGGAAATTATCAAAAAAGGCTATTAGATAATCTTATTTTGTTTTCGTGGAATTGGGTCATCAGGGTTCCCTTTAGAATCACCAAAATCTGGTGAATTTCTTAAAGAACTTAAAGAATGCCATAGTGTTGATGAGGCTGTAAATATATGTTTGTACTGGATTGGTGCTGCATTGCAAATTATAGCTAAGGAATAATATATGCCTGAACAACTTTAGGAGATGCAAATGGTAAGTGGTTAAGAACTTTTTATAATTTATTTATTTTTTTTTTTTGTGAATTATAGGCTAAATTTGATATTATATAGATACAGAAAGATAAGCTTTATAGTTTTTGGAATGAAATTGCACAAACAAGAAAGTCATTTAAAGGAAGTACTGATGAAGTCATTAACAATACAAAGAAATTATGTGAGGAATAATTTATCAGGAAAGTATTATGTTTGTTTGATGAAGCATCAGCTTTGTTAGATGGAAAGGCTAATATATATAGTAAGTAGTTTGTTTAATAAGTATTTAAATTATATATATAGTATTATTAATGTTTATTGAACTCTTTGTTAAATGAAGAATCCAACAACCTTGCATATAGAGGATGTAGGAGGGCATTGGCATATATCAATTCCATATTTGGTATAATGACTGACACAAACTCAAGTGTTGCAAATTTAGTTCCCTAAATCAAAGATGACAAATCAGTAAGTTAATTACTAAATAAGAATTTATGCATATTTTCTTTATGTATTATTTATCATCATTTCTTTTTTTTTTAAGTCTAGAATTATTAAAGACATAAATATGAGCCTTTTAAATCCTTTTATCCATGTAGCAACAACAGATATATTCAGGTTTAATTTCATTCTCTTTATTTTTGTACTTGAAATGACATAACAAATATTTATTATTTTTTAAATACTGTATAATGTAACAAATCTGGTTCCTTGCCTCAAGAAATCCAAGAACTACAAGGACAACAAGGTTTTGATATTTGCCAATTTGGGCAACCACTTTGGATAGCCTACATAGTAGCAAACAAAAATGTGAAAGGAACTATATCATTTACTCAAAGCAAACTGCTTGGTAGAATGGATCCATCAGTGCTAGTCTCAAATGATAATGATATGAGAAAAAATCATATAAAGCAAAGGATTGTCTTGTTACATTTTGGATGTACTGCTGGTCTTCACCTTTGTCTTAAAATGGAACTACCTTCCCAGTTGGCTAGAAACCATATGGCAACAATAGTGGCTATTAATGAAGATAGAATAGAACTGCTAGCTTGTTATCCATTTGAACCAATTCTTTCTGAAGTAGCCATAAAAATTTTAAGTGTAGACAATTATCGACTAAAGGCAATAGAAATTTTAAACAGTATTATTTGGAAAGGATGTATTATGGATGCTGGTGACAGGGGTGAGCTTGAAATGAGAATTGTGTTATTGACTGTTTGGATGCATACAAAACCATTAGATTTTTATTCTCGACAAATCAATGTTTTGGATTTTCTGCAAGCCTTTTTTCCACAATCAAATATTAATACTTGCACTATGTGGGAAGATTTTGAAATAGGATTCACTTACTTTATTCCAATACATATCAACCAAATATGAACACTATTAAAAAAGCTTGAAAGCGGTATGGAGCAATAATCCTAAAATGTTATCAACAAGGTGAAGATCTTATATTAATTATCCAGAATAAAAAAACAGAGAACTTTGGATGTATTGTTATTCAGGTTTGTGGCTAACATTTTGTAAGATATAAGTAGTATTAATTTAAATGAATAATTTGTTATAATCATAATATCAGATAAAAAACTGGGCAAGAAGACAAACCAACTTTGATAATAAAGTGGGTAGACAATTGAAAGCAACTCATGTTTTTAGTGAGGAATTAGGAAAACATATTAGTAAAGAGTTTTATTTAGGCATTTATATTCACCTTGGTAAGTGATATAATGATACCTTTTTTCCTTTTCCTGTCTTATAAAACATGCTCATCTTTTTTTTAAAAAAAAATAAGAGAGGTATATACAAATGATTCAAGCTTTACATTATATGATTATAGCAAAAGTGGAAATAGATGGAAGCTCCAAAAAACTGATGGGAATAAAGCAACTTTTAATAGAATAGTAGTTCTAGGGTTGTCAAATTTTTATACTACTAATGACAGTGAGAAATTAAAAACAATGAAGTCTCTTGTACAAGCATGGGATAATCCAGTGATGGGTTTTGGACACATTTTTTAGTTTTGGACAAGGTTTTGGACATATGAAATTGTGTCCAAAACCTGTCCAAAACTACCTAAAATTGTCCAATTTTCCAACATTAGGATAATTCATTGCTATGGAATGGACAATTATTTGATAATAAGAGACAAACATTGGTTTCATCTATGATGCCATTGTATTATAATTGAAAATGTATTTTATAATACATTTTGTAGTTGAATATGCATATATTAGTTTTTTGTAGATATTAATATTATAACAATCAATAAACTTATTATTATAGATAAAATTTGCTATCTTTATTTATGACATTTTTGTGTCCTGTTGATTTTGTTAAGAATTTTGTAAATATAAATCATAAAACCTACAAAGTGAACATAAAATTATATATATATATATATATAAGGATAAGTGTATATGAAAAGTATTAACAAAGGTAATAAATATAATGGTTCTAATGAATATCAAAAAGCCATTGATTTTCTAGAAAAAGGATGTAATTGTGATTGTTCTTCAAGAATTCCTAGGGAAGAATTTGCAGAATTAAGGGAATTCTTTTTAAAATAAAATAAGACATTTTTTTAATAGCCTAACTTAAAGCAATGGATGATGGATCAACAAGTACTAGTAGACACCTTAAAAAGAAAACCAGATCTAATAAAAGAACTTTCTACTATTGAGATTACAATACACTTTTTTGTCCAGAAACTTATCTTAATATGTTAGGAATTGGTAGAACTTACTTTGAAAATATTAGAAATTATCTAATAAACAATGGTTTTTTACCAAGAATTCATGGTAATATTAAAAGGATGTCTCAATGGAAAACTAAAATGGTGATTGATAAAAATGTTGCAAAAGTAGTAAAGAATTTTCTAGAAAATTATGCAGAAGTCCATGGATTACCAAGTCCAGGAAGAAGTATCAATAGAATAACTCAATCAATTGTATTCTTACCAGCTGAAATGAGTTATAAATCAGTCTACAGGGGTTTTCTAGTTGGTCTAGAAGAAGATAGCAAATTGAAATCCTTAAAATATGATGCATTCAATTATGATATCAATTGACATCAGAGATTCAAATTATGAGTCCAAGAACTGATTTATATAATATTTGTCAGCATTTTAGAGATAGTTTACATTACAATGCTCGCCAAGAGGATGAAGCCAAATATTTGATCAAAAGATTTAAAGAACATCTATCTAAAGTCAAATTAGAAAGAAATTATTATAATAAAAATACCAAATTAGCAGAAGAACAAAGAAAACTAGTTGATCAACAATATTCAAAGGGTAAAACACAGTATTACAGTACTGATACTACTTCACATTATAATTATGATTAAGCTCAAAATGTTTATGTATCACACTTAGATCAACAAGTAAGTAAAATTTATTATCTTAGTTTATGCAAAGTTCATTTATTTGGTATTCAAGATAAAGCAGTAAGGGAGCAAATTAATTATGTTCTTAATGAAGATGAAGTTATAGAAAAAGGACCCAATAGAACTCTTAGCATGATTTTTGATGGAATTAAGAAATTGAATAAAGGTGAAAAGCATTTAAAAATTACTTGTAATAATGCAAGTGAACAGAATAAAAATAATGTAACAATTTGGTTCTATTTATATTTAGTAATTTGTGGTTATTATAAAAGTATTGAATTAAATTTCATGATCTCTGGACATACCAAATTCAAATGTGATGGTAGTTTTAGATTGATTAAAAAACTTTACAGAAAAACAAGAGTAGATTATTTAAATCATGTGGTTGAGGTGATAAAAAAGTCTAATCCAGCTGGATTAAATAAAGCACAATGTTAGAAGTATGATGTCTTGGTTTTTGTAGCTGATCTTGAAATCAACTTTCAAAGAACACATATAAAAACGAACCTCTGACTTGAAAAAATAAAATAATAAAAAAATAAAAATAAATATTATAAATAATATAATATTTATAATTTATTTATTCTTACCAAAATGTTTTGATATTTCATTTTGTCTATTTGAAAAACTTCCCGAATCTTCTTAGCAGAAATATATCATTGTATTGGTTTTTCAATAGGAGTTAGTGGTGTTGTTGTTAGCGTTGGTATTAGCGTTAGTATTGGTATTGATATTATTATTGGCATTGGTGTTGGCATTAGTGTTGGCATTACGTTTGCTTCTTGCAAAGCTTTAATTTTCTATAAATTTTTTTATGAATATTTATTATTTGAAACATGACAAAGGACAATTATTATCACAAAAATTACCAATAACATTTGTTGCATTGTAGATAAAATAGTTTCCATTTTAAAGATTTTAAAGGCAAAAAAAAAATTGTTTGTTCGTTGTAAAAAAAAATTGAG